CCCCCCTCTCTCTCTCTCTTTCTCTCTCTCTCTCTCCCTCTTTCTCTTTTCTTTTCACTCCCTCTTTACATCTCTGCGTCTCTCTCTCTACTTCTCCCCCTCTTTGTCACTGTATCTCCCTCCCTCTCTCTACCTCCGCTCCTGTCTTTCTCTCTGTCTTTTTATCTATCACTCTCTGGCTAAAATTATAATGTTTCCATTATTTGATCATTAACACTATCATTGCCTGGCCATGAACTCAATCCGTTTTTGATCATGAATGCAATCTGTGACTATGAAGACAATCGTTGTTTGTCCCTAAACACACTCTTTGTTTGACTATGAACTCAACCGTTGTTTGACCACTTTGTTTTACCATTAATACAATCTTTGTTTGGCCATATATTTTTTAACATGAATACAGTTTTTGACCATGAACACAATCGGTTTTTTTGGCCACTTTGTTACCAATTACAAAATCTTTGTATGACCATTAACATAATTCTTGTATGACCACGATCACAATCTTTGTTTGACCATGATCACAATCTTTGTATGACCATTAATTCAATTCTTCTATGACCATGGTCACTATCTTTGTTTGACCATGATCACAGTCTTTGTATGACCATTAACACAATCTCTGTTTGACTATGATCACAATCGTTGTTTTTTCCACTTTTTCTTGACCATTAAACCAATCTTTGTTTTGACCATGATCACAACGTTTGTTAGGCCGTTAACGCAATCTTTGTATTACCTTTAATACAATCTATCTTCTTTTGCTGTTTTTTCCAGGTAGGTCAATCTGAACATCCCAAGCCGGTTACTGAACAGGTCAGTTTATTTTTTCACGTTGTCAGACACAGCTCTAGCGAGAATGTGTGGCATGTGTCTCCTGCTTATCTAAATCCACTGGTGGAACATTTTCTACCATATTGAAAAACAGGAAGTTGACCGCTTACTTCACGAAGTTCTGATCTATGAAGCATACGGGCTGTCGTGTTGTCCCTACGAAGAGAAGGAAGCTTTTGTGCAAACATCTTCTAAGTCAGCCGCCTC